GGGCCGCCCCGCCCTGCGCGGAATCCGGCCGCAGGGCCGGCCCCAGGGCAGTGCCCGGCCACCCCTTCTCCCGCCTTGCCACGCCCCCGCGGCGCCGGCGGGGAAGGAAAGCTCCGGGAGTCGAGGTGGGCGACTTCCCCGCCCTTCCTTGCCTCTTAGGAACTAACTGATGGTGCGTTTAACCTCTGCTCGTGTCCCCCGCCCTTCCTTCGAGCCGTGGAAGTAACAGAGAAATGAAGATTTTGAAAGCGTATTGCTAAATTTCCGGTAATCGCTTCAGGAGAATGCGAAGGAAAAGGGGACGGAAAGGCTTAGGGAAGGGAAAGACAGCCCCAGGTAGTGAGAAACGCGCGTTGGAGCGCTTCCGTGCACGGCTGATTCCTCCGCAGGCTCAGGTGTGTGCGAACAGGTGTCGCCACCTCCTTCCACCCGTCCGCCCCCTGGGGAAAGCAGAGCGTTGTATGCACCCGCCATCCCGGGACCTGAACTGGGAGCCGCGTATCGCCCGGGGAAGACACCCGGGGTGGTTGTGTTTCGCTTTTTAAACTGTATCATTTTCCAAGAACTTGCGAGACTTGGTCATTCTCGTTTTAACTGGTGAGAAAGTGGCCTGGGCGAGGTGACGGCAACATAGTAGGGAGACCACCCGTCCCGTAAGCAGAGAAACCGGAACTCGACCGGGTGCTGTGCACTGCCCTGGCCAGCCTCAGGATTTGCTTACCAGGAAGTTTTCGGGCTCTCAGGCGCGCCCCCTATACGGTCGCCAGATCCCTCCTTAATGCAAAATCCTGGCTGAATTGTTGCCCAATCAGAATTAGTTTAGCCTTGCCCCGCCCTTGATTCTCTGAGTAATCCCGAGGGCCGGGCTCACATTATTCCTTAACTGTCAGGTTTATAATTAATCAGGTGACGTCTTGCAAAATGAATTTGCCATCAATTTCTAGCTCAAAAAGAGATAAACAGTATACCGCACGCAGTATTACATCCATGCCCTGAAGGTTACTTGTTATGTAATAAAGTGATTATCATGTATTAAGTAGCCCCTTGATTTTTCAAGTAGGGTGGCAAGTTACCTGTTACTAAAAAGCAGTGTTCAAGGGTAAAGACTATGCTTAGGACCTAAGACTGTACAGTGAATTCGGAGCTTGCAGTCTTTCTAGAAAAGGCCATTCTTTATTCTCTCTGGAAAAAGATAACCCAGTTGGATGGTTCATACACAGGTCCATTTCAATGCCTTTCTGGTGGTAGAATGGGAGGAGGGGGGATTTTATGGTCTATTCCAATAATGCATCTCTGAAATTTCATCTTTGATAATCACCCCCCAGGTCCCTAACATGCATTTGCTTCAAGAAAGTATTCACGTTTAACTCCACTCTGCCAGGAATTTTGCCCATGCTTTTAACACATTGCTTCATTTAATTCTCACAATAACCTTTTGAGCAGAAATCTCTTCACGCTTGATGAGAGAGAAAATTGAGACTCCGAGAGGTTTTCTTTTTGTTGTTGTTCAGGTTTTTGCCGTGCGGTGCGCACGCTTGTTGGAAAGAGACAGAGAGAGAGAGAGAGAAAAACAGTGAGAAGGAAAGTGAGAAACCCCCAGGGGTAATAGCCACGCCGCAATCCCCTCTCCTCGATTCTCCTGGAACCCCAGGCAGGCATGCACACGCACACACTTGGCATGATTTTCAAGCCGCCAGATCCAGGACTCAAACCATGTTCAGCATGTGGGAGTCCAGCACTTTAACCACTATGCCACCTGGTGATTAAGATGCTGAACTCCCACATGGCTTAGCATGGTTCGAGTCCTGGACCTGGCAGCTTGGAAATCATGCTGGGTACGTGATTGCACCTGGCAAAGGGATTGCAGCCTGGCCATCCTCCTGGGGAGGGGGGTTCTTCCCTCTCTGTCTCTCTCCAGAGAGTACACATGCCCTGTGGCAAAACAACAACAACAACAAAAGCTGACCCAACATCTGGTTTCAAATGCCTACCTTGCCCCCAGTGCAAATTGACCAAGGAAAGGTTGATTAGAAAGGAAATTCACCTTGCCTAATTTTTAGAGCAGAAATAGCAATGATATTTGTGGACAGATCATAAGAAAGGTCTGTGTTTTGCAAAAATAATGACAGGAAACCAACTGGGAATCGACTCATAAGAAAAATACTACTTTAATTACAATCTAGACAAATTATTTTTGAATACATTTCGATTTTAGTATGCAATTTAAGACCATAAAATGTACTCGCTAGAGGAGACACACAGAGATAAAATATTTTGACTACGGAACAAAAACAGAGATGTGAGAAATCAAGAAAAATGTTGGTGTTTTCTAAACTCGGTCTTCCACAGGACTCTGAGTGGTGCCATGACTCGAGAAAGCTCGAGTTGCTTCATGAGGCAAACGGGTATTTCCATCGCAAAATGGCTCCATCGGCGCTCACGCTGACAATGTACTGATTCCCTGGACTGATCCGGATGCGTGTGATATTGCCGCTGTGTCCCACCCCGACATGAGTCACTTCACCCTCATTATAATCCCAAACTTTGACCAGATGGTCATTTCCACCTGAAAAAGACAAGCACTTAGCTAGCATTGCTGCAGAAACATGGAGAAACAGCTCTGATTTCAAACAACGGAATCATTTTCAACACGCTTCCCCATGTGCCAACTCAGAGGAAGAAAAATCTATCTTTATAATAACACTTTTACTTGATTATAAAAAAATCTATGTCTGCTGTAGTAAATTCGGGAGAGAAAAAATATAAAATACCAAGAGGTGAAATCACCCTTCATCTCACCACCCAGAAATAAGCAGGAATAACATCTTGGTTTAGTTTCTTTCAGTCTTTTCTCCAAACCTGAACATGTACATACACATCGGTATATGGGACTGAGCTTGTACTGTTTAGTGTCTTGCTTTCAGTCAAAGTGTTTGTGAAACTTTCATTCATTTGGAACATTTATTTGTTAATATCCTCAATACTCAAATTGCCTGGGAGGAAATTATGTTAATGTTGTTCCATTCAGTGTAGGGTATGGTAAATGCCTTCTTGAAATTCTGGTTAATTGATTTATTGGGGGGCTTACCTTCAAAATAAAAGGGTATAAAGAGAATGGCATTTTCTTTTCCTTTCTTTTTTGGAGAGGTTTTTTGCTATAGGGCATGTGTGCTTGCCAGAAAGACAGAGAGAGACAGAAACCAAGAAATCACCTCCCAGGGCAATGGCCACGCCGCAATCCCTTCTCCTCCATTCTGTTCTTGGGATCTTGGGCACGCATGCACATGCGCCTGGCATGGGTTTAAGCCGCCGGGTCCAGGACTCGAACCGCGGTCAACTACATGGGAGTCCAGCGACATAGCCATTACACTAACTGCTGGTCCCCAAGAGAATGGCATTTAAGACCTCAGTCAGAAAGCACATTGGGTGACCCTGGCCATTTAATGGTCTGTTTCTATCATCAATGCCCACTTCAGAAAGTAAGCAAGCAATGGAAGGCTTCGCTTTTATTTGTGCCTATAAAGCTCCTGTGTAAATGTTTCCTCTCGTCGAAATCAGACTTCTGGGTTTTTCTTTTCCAGACGCATTAGCTGCAGTGCTGAGGGCTGAATCTAAACAGTTGCCCTGGAGACCCCTTTGCCGTCTTTTCCAATTGCCTCCTGCCTGGGAGTTCCATGGCCTCAGCTTTCCTTCCTTACCCCAGGACTAACCTGTGACAAAGTGCACTCCTTCCTGCGTGATGTCCATACCATTTACTGACCCAGACAAGGAACCTTCCAACTCTCTGATCACTGACCCGTCAAATATCTCCCAGTAAGCAATCTGGAATTCAAGAACGAAGCATTAGGCAGGATTCGGCTCAGTGGAATTATCCACACACATGCTAACAAAAGATGGTTCTCCTTTATATAGAAGGTAGCAAAAATACACCATGGGGTGATATTGGCTGAAATTATAAATAGGCTACAGCGAGGGGTGGAGAAACCCTTTTAATATTTTTAGTATTGGCTTTACAATTTACATGCTATTTAAAGAGATGGTGATATGCTGATAAACCTGGATTGTGACAGGGCTTTTGATAAAGCTAAGTCGATTGAGGCTGAAACAAGCTATAAAAGAAAAAGAACAGCCACTGCATCCGCCGTTCCTGCTTCTTCACTTCCGCGAGGAGAGCGAAGCTCCCGGCCTGGTGGGAGGGAAACCGTGTCCTTCCCTCTCTGATTGGGGAATTACCACGCAGAGTTCTGGGGACTGGCTTCCAGCTCCCTTCCTTCGGTGTAGACCCTCCCTTTCCTCATCTCACCCTTATTCCCATCTTTCCCTTTTCCCTCAAAGCAATAAAACATTCCACAGGGTGGGGTTTGAAGACAAACCCATAACCTGGGGCAGGGAACTAGGTTAGGGGTGAAGGGACACAGGGACTGAAGGAGGGAGATTTTTCCCCGAATATACTGCTCTTGTACTTTGAAACTTCGGAATGCACAACCTATTCAAAAATAAAATGGCTTTCATTTCTTTTTCTTTTTTTAAGTTTTGCTATAGGGTGCTTGTGCTTGTAGGAGAGAGACGGAGAGAAGGAAAGTGAGAAATCATCCCCTGGGGGGGGGTGGCCATGCTACAATCCCTTCTGCTCCATTCTCCCGTCGGTATTTTAGACATGCACACACACACACACACACACACACACACACGCGCGAATCGGCATTTTAGACATGCACACACACACACACACACACACACACACACACACACACACACGCGCGAGGCCTATTTTTCAAGCCGCCAGGTCTGAGACTTGAACTGCTCTGTCAGCCATGAGGGATCCACCATGCCACATGCTGCCCCCCAAATTTCCTCCCTTTTTAAAATTTATTTATTTCAAGAGAGAGAGAGAGAGAGACAACAGGTAGCCAGCTGTCCACAGCAGAGTCTTCAAACCACAGTCCACTGCCAGCCTCCGTCAGGTAGGAATACTGGCGTGCACGCGTGTGCCCAGCATGCACAAGGAGACCTCGGTGCACGAACTCAGGACCTTCCTGTGCGCCTTCAGCATCACACAGTGTTCTGCTGCTGTGCTATCACCGTGGCTGGCCCAAAATAAAGCTTCTCCCTACATAAAGAACGCTTGACCAGGAATCGGGAGTGTGAACTTGGGCACACATTTCGTGCATCTCTCTCTCGTGGTGATGGAAACTCGCTGTGTTCCAGTTCCTCTGCAGGGATCTGTATTCTCTGAACCCAGCTAGGAGTTGCTTGTTATCCTTTTTTCTTGTGCTTTATACTTTCTATGATAAAAGTGGGTCAGCCTGTGGCCTGGTGGTTACAGGTAGCTATGTCCCACATAGTCCACCTCATAGTTCGAGTCCCAGACCCTGCAGCTTGAGAAACGTGCTGGGTGTGTGTACACGTATGCTTAAAATCCCGGAAGGAGGGACCCGCAGATGGCGTAATGGTTATGGCGCTGGACTCCTGCAGATGGCGTAATGGTTATGATTGTGACGCATAGGGCAGATGGCCTGATGGATATGGCACTGGACTCTGACATAGTCAACTGGGTGCAAATCCCAGACCTGGAGGCTTAAAACTCCTAACAGGAGGGTGTGCATGTATGCCCAAAGTGCCCAGAGAAGAATAGAGGAGAAGGAATTGCAGTGTGGCCAATTCCCCTGGGGGGTGATTTCTTACTTTCGTCTCTCTCTCTCTCTCTCTCTCTGTCTCTCTGGTGAGTGCACACACACACTATAACAAAAATTTTTCTCTCAAAAAAAAAATCCTGAATGAAGGCGAAATAGAGGCAGGATTGTGGCATGACAATGCTCCATTGTAAGGTACTCTTTGGCTTTCCTTCTCTCTCTGTCTCTCTCCAGTAATGGATGCATCTTCTGGCAAATTGGGGGAGGGAGGGAAGCAAAAACAAAGAAATATAAATGCATACCAGAATCCATGTTTCTCAGAAATCTCCTCCACAGAAGTAGCCGGGAATCTGACTGCCTGCCTTCCCAGCCAAAGGAATCAAAGTGACGCTCTCCTGGGTCACCTCTCAAGGGCTCAGTCTTTCCTGAGTGTCCTCTGCCCGGGATGGCCTTCCTTGAGATCTAACCATGGCCACGTCCTTCCACCACTCAGGCCTCAGCTCAGACGTCACCTCCGTGAGGAGGCCTTCCGCTCGCCCCTAGCTAAAGCAGCCTCCCTCCACCCCCAGCCTATGGCCTGTTCCAGTTCCCTTCAGCACTTTCCCCATCTCATAGTTCGTTCACTTATTCCTCATTGTTCGTTCATGTATTCATTTGCATGTGTATTATACAAGCCTATCCCTTCTCCCCTCAAATAATTAAACTGGGTGCGTAAGCTCTATGGGGCAGGGTCATTGTCCCATCCCAGCACTTAGAATAGTTTCACAAATGTATCATTTGAATATTCTAGTGACTTTTTTTTTTTTAATTTTTGCACTCACCAAACAAAGATGGGGGAAAGTGAGAAATCACCCCCCTAGAGATTTCTCCATTCCCCTCTTGGGATGTTGGGCATGCACGTGTGTGCACCCAGCATGGTTTTTTTAAAAATTTTATTTATTCATTAATTTATTTTAATTTGACCAGAGACACAGAGAGAGAGAGAGAAAGTGAGAAAGCAAGCCACCAGGTCTGGTACTTGAACCATGTCAGCCATGTGGGAGTGTCCAGCACCCTGACCATCACGCCACCTGCTAGCATGGTTTTCAAGCAGCTGTTTTTTTCAGGACTCCTGAGGTCAGCCCTATAGAACCCAGTGCCCGAACCACCGCGCCCTCTAGTGACTTTTTTTAAGGTTCGCTGGAGACTGAGAAAGAGGCAGTGAGAGGGAGAGGGAGAAATCACCCACCCCAGAGGGGGATGGCCATGCTGCAATCCCTTCTCCATTCTCCTCCTGGGATCTTGGGCATGCGTGCACGTGAGCCTGGAGTGCATTTCAAGTCACTGGGTCCAGGACTCCAACCGTGGTCGGCCATGTGGGAGTCCAGTGCCTTTAACACCACACCACTTGCTGGCCCCCAGTCACATTTTTTTAAAAGAGGTTTTTGCCTTAAGATGCATGTGCTTCCCAGAGAGAGAGAGAAAGATAGAGAGGCAGTGAGAGGGAAAGTGAGAAATCACCCATCCAGAGGATGACCATGCAGTAATCCCTTCTCCATTCTCCTCGTGGGCATGCATGCACATGTGCCTGGCATGATTTTAAAGCCCCCTGGTCCTGGCTTCAAACTGCAGTCAGCCATATGGGAGTCTAGTGATGTAACCGCTATGCCATCTGCTGGCCTCCCTAGTGATTTTTTTTAAGGAATTATTTTCTTTAACTTTATATATTATTATTATTTTAATAGTTATACACACACACACACACACACACACACACACACACACACCACTCACAGAAAGAAAGAAAAAGTGAGAAAGCAAGCCTCCAGGTCTGGGATTCAAACCATGCTCAGCCATGTGGGAGTCCAGTACCCTTAGCCACCATGCCACCTGCAGGATGCCCTAGTGACATTTTAAATAAAAGAAAAATAGACTGCTTTGAGTCTCATAACCTAAACCTAAAATAAGGCCAATACCACGCTAATCTAGAAACTTTATATCAAGCCTCGAGAGTGACCTTGTGCTTAAGTCCCTAATATCCATCCCATCCCAGTTCTAAGAGGAAGCCCAGTTACACCACAAGCCAAACATGCGTGTGAGGGGTGGACAGGCATAAGCCAAGTTGGGCTGATAAGACACGAAGACACTGGCTTGGACAGTCTTCAAAGACTACAATCGAGGCAGACTTCCATGCTGACCCTTAAAACGCGAGTGTCAGGCACATCCTGGCATGGACCAGGCAGCATTTCTTGGATTTTTATGACCAAGTGTTTCCCAATCACCTAGAAAACTTAAACAGGAAAAAGCCCAATCCCAGATTCTCATGTGGAGGTAGTGTGGGGCGGGGGGGGGGGGGGGGAGTGGGGGGCGGGCG